TTAAGTTATTTTCTATGGTGACAGAATAAAGCACAAGATGTGAGATGAGACCTTTGTGAGCCTGGATTGATTTGTTTTTGATGTTACACTCCAGTTGGGAAATCATTGCTGTATTTTTTTTAAATCAACGCGTTACAGGACGTCTTTCATGCATATGCGGAATATGCCTGTGTAAGTAACATGAATCGTTCACATATCTTTTGCGACTTTATTGTCCGAGTTGTAAAACGCATAGCAAAGCTGCCTATAGAGAGAAACTCTGCCGTCTCCCACAGAGAGACGCAGGTGCTGGCCAAGAGAGCGTGTATGTGTATGTGTGTGTGTGCGTTTACAGCCGTTTGATAAATATAGATTTGTAACGTTAGCTAAGTCGTTAGCGGTTACCATAATTTCCCGTTGTTTACATCTTTGCTACAACACACCGTTAAAGTTAGACACTGTACATGTCATGATCAATTTTAACAAATAAAAACACTTACAGGTCATGACTCAGAGTTCACAGCGTCTCCTTGCTCCATCTTTGAGGAGATTTTAACTGAATCCAGCACTGAACTGGGAGAGATTCTGGAAGCTGTGTTTTGTCAAATCATGCTTGCTATGTATTTTATAGTTCTCTGGAACATAATTAATATTGAACTGTAAGCACTTCTGTGTTTGGGTCGTGTCATTTGGAAGCCCAACAACAGAAACAGAACAGCTATGTGGAAACAGCAGGATGGCATTTCTCCCTCTGCAGTAACGTTACAGCGCCTCTGGCCACGGCCTTTACCTGCGCAGTGTGGGATGCGCAATAACGAACTTTTGTGATCTCACAGGGGGCGGAAGTATTTTTTGTAGTCCCCAAAATTCGTTAATTGTAGGCGTTGCTAAGCTAACTCTGTACAAATCAAGGTCTCCCTTTGCATTAAACTTTGAATATTTTACATTTAGAGATGCTGTTTATGTTCACACAGCTACATTACACATCAACTGAAGTTTAAAATATAATATCGTAGTGGACCACCCCTTTAAAATGAAGACTATACAGTACTATTTGACTCTGTTTAAAAGCACTGTTTAATTGACTTTTTCTTTACTCTATTGTAATTATTCTTGCTTGCAATTTGTTTATTATTTTTATACATGATTCACACCCTTATAAAATCACCCCAATCAATATAAATTCATTATTATCTATAGAAATTGACCTTTAAGGTATGAAATGCAGGCAACCGCATTTTACAGTTTATGACTCATTTTTAATTGTGTAAATCTTTTCTTTTTCTGTATTTGGCCAATTGTGTGATTGGCAAAAATAAGCATGACACCAAAATAATCGCTACATTGTTCATAAAATATCCCGGAAAAGATTAAGGCCCAATCTCAATTCTACCCCTTAGCCCTTTCCCTTAGGAGTGTCCCAATTCTCGTTAGCTTGAAGGCGTAGGGCTGAGGGGAAGGGGTAGATACCCCATTCAAACGGAGATTTTTCAGGGCCACACTCAAAACCAAGGGGTAAGAAAATTTCCCAGAATACATCAGCCACAATGGCAGGATAGCTGCACCCGGTGTTTTTTTTTTTTTTGTCATTATTATGAATTTTTACAACAAACAAGCATATGTTTTAATATATTCATAACTGCATTCATGTTTTATAGTCATGCTTTAAAAAAAACCCCACCAAAATAAAAAATATAAAACGCTAAATTTCTCTAACTACAATCCCTAAAAATAACTCCTGCATAGCAGTCCCACAACATTCTGTCACTTGATGACACTCGAATACCCTGTCAGAGAAGTCTAGTGGCTGGCAATGAGCTTTTTACAGTGTCTGGTATAATGCTGATGTTGTCTTCTTGTGTTTACATAGATGAATATGGCCAATAAATGCACAGTATTGCCAGTAAATATCTTATTGCCACATAATACCGTTGCCTTCAGTGATTTCTTAAAAATAAATATAAAACAATAACACAACTGGTATCACTACAGCATTCGCGATCATTGATCTCTTATAAAGTAAGAGATTTTGATGACATATGATTACGTGTGCAGGTGTAATAGTGCTGTCCCATTTCTTAGGGGTAAATTTTGAAACCCTTCCCCTTCACACTCTTTTTCAAGGGCCAGGAGGAAGAAGACGAGGTAGGGGTAAAAACATAGAATTGGGGTTGGGCCTAAGAATCATGTCAGTTTTGGTTTTATGCTTTTAGCTTAGTTTTATCTGAGAACATCTCCACTGTAGAACTGTAATCTTTCATTAATACTGCATTTATTATTTTCTTCTTTCATTTGTAAAATGCATAAAACGACTACGTTTAACCCATTTGCTTCCTTAATGTGATGCATTTGAGAGTGAAATTATTTAGTTTTAATTGGTTCTTTGGTATATTCGTCCAAAGGGAAATTACAGCTCGGGTGATTCTCAAAAAACTATTTTATTCCAATCCATGTGCGCAAAGATGATATAATTTATATTGCAATTGCATTAATTAAGTGTAAAGTCCACCTTGGTGTTGTAAACAAAAATAATAGTATATGCTAATCAAGTATTGCATTTTGAAAAACAAACAAAAAAAATTGCAAACAAAACTTTTTCACCAAAATAACCTGTACATTGTTCATAAAACAACCAGAAACACATTAAAGGGCACCTATTTGACCCCTTTTACAAGTTGTAAGATAAGCCTCTGGTGTCTCCAGAATGTTTCTGTAAAGTTTCTGCTCAAAATACCCATCAGATTATTTATTAAACAATGTAGAATCTGCCCATTTTGGTGTCTGAGGACAATGTAGCTGTTTTTGTAGCTTGTGGCTTTAAATGCAAATGAGCTGCTTCTTCCAATCCACCGTTCTGGCACGCAAGTCTGTTTCTCATGCGTTATGTCAGATAAACAGCCGTCAGTGATAGAGACAGAAACGGATGAAACTGTTTTCTCTGACAGACAAAATTTAGCCTTGTTTTAGCCAAGAAGACAATGTTTAGACGTCTATTAGATATCTTTTAAAAACAATAAATGCTTGCTGGGTATTTACATTGCTTTCTTAAAGTGATGCATTTTAGAGTAAAATCCTTTGGTTTTATTGGTTCTCTGCTATATTTGTAGATATGGAAATTACAGCTCAGGTGATTCTCAAAAAACTATTCCAATCTAATTTGCAAAAATGATGCCATTTACATTGCAAATGCATCAACTAATTTTACAGTGCACCTTGGTATTATGAACAAAAATATTAGATGATGCAAATCAAGTACTGCATTTTGAAGAAAAATGGCAAACAAATGTTTTATATTACTAAAATAACCTGCACATTGTTCATAAAACATCCTGGAACACATTGAAGGGCATCTTGTTTACCCCCTTTTACAAGATGTAACAGGACTTTGGTGTCTGCAGAATGTGTCTGTAAAGTTTCAGCTCAAAACACAAATCTGATTATTATTATTATTATTATTATTATTATTATTATATAATGTAGAATCTGCCCATTTTGGTGTCTGAGCATAATGTAGCTATTTTCGTTGCCTGTGCTTTAAATGCAAAAGAGCTGCTTCACCCCTGCCTGTTACGCATTCGTTATGTCAGATAAACAGCAGTCAGGGATAGACACAGATGAAACTAAAATAAGGTGATGTCTATTACATTTTCACTGACAGCCCAAATTTAGCTTTGTTTTAGCCAAGACAACAATGTTTAGATGTCTATTACTTATCCTTATAGGTACACAATCCACTTTAAATAAATCACATAGCTTTTCCATTGCAACAGATGATTCTGTCATTACCCCCTCCCCTCAGGTTAAGAGTCTGGGGGTCATCTTCGACAGCACCCTTTCATCCAGTGCACATGTTAATAATGTCGCCCGGTCCACCTATTTCCACCTTCGAAATATAAATCGTCAGCTGCCATTCTTGTTCATAGTTTAGTCACATCCTGTTAGATTACTGTAATTTCCTTCTGTTTGGCCTCCCTAAAAAACTCTTCATAAATTACAACTGGTACAAAACGCTGCAGCCCGCATTATCACAAAAACTCCCTCTGTCACATCACACCCATTCTACAACAGCTTCACTGGCTTCCCATCCTTTTCAGAATTAATTATAAAATACTTCTTCTCACTTTAAAAGCCATCCACGATCTTGCTCCTCCATACCTTGCTAGTGTTGATCATATTGCCACACCTTCTCGAACACTCAGGCCTTCTTCTTCCATTCACCTCACTGTTCCCTCTGTCCGCCTTGTCACCATGGGGAGCAGATCTTTCAGCCAATCTGCTCCTCAGCTTTGGAATTCACTCCCTCCTGATCTCCCTAATTTAGACTCTCTTTCTCAATTTAAATCCAAACTCAAAACACATCTGTTTAGAACAGCTTATTCACTTTAACCTGACTGCATTTTTAAAGTTTGTATTGTTTTCTATTGACTTTTATTGTGTTTTTAATTGAATTGATTGTTTTAGCTGTCCTGTACGGTGACCTTGATTGTCATGAAAGGCGCCTTTAAATAAAATGCATTATTATTATTATTATTATTATTATTATTATTATTATTATTACACATCTATTAGACATCTTTTAAAAACAAAACATGCTTGCTGGGAATTTACGTTGCACATGCATAAACCAATTGTACAGACTCCATTGTTAATAGCTCAAGATGCATAGCAAGTTTTGCATTTTGAAGACAAATCACAATCAAACTTTTTATTTCACCAAAATATGCACCAAAATAGATCTGTGCATACACAAGCCTATCCAGAATTTGCTTCTTGAGCATTTAGTTTGACATGCCACTTTCTTCATCGTGCATTGTTCGCATTTTGACCTCCTCGACACATCTCAAGAGAATCCTAAATGCTCCATTTTCATCATTTGCTCAGCTTCATTCAACTCCAGTTCCTTAATACGAGGACACAGTGAATGTGCAATATGCAGTTCATAAATCTCCCTCCCTCCCTCCCTTAGCGACAGCACTCGCCTCTTATCTTGTCTTCTTTAGCGTCACAGGAGCATGGCGAAGGAGCGTCCTTGTGCCCTAAGCTGGAGAGCGAGCGAGCGACTGAGAGAGAGAGAGAGAGAGTTAGAGAGAGAGGGAGGGGAGATGCGGCGTCAGTCAGCTGCAGTAGGCAGAGGACAGCAGTAGCAGCACTGCCTGCCGCTCTCTATTGTTCAGCAAGAACATTTTCCTTCTCGCTCCAATTAAAACGAGGAGCAGAAGACGAGGAGATCCAACACACGCAGCATTCCTTTGGGGGGGCACTACCTGAAGACGCTTGCAAACTCCTTCAAGTTCCTTCTCTGCTCTCGTCTGGGGTTTCTTTTCATCTGGAGCCGGTGGATTTTACCCGACTCTGGGGAGCCATGGGACTTGGGGTTAGGGGTGCAAGGACAGCGTTCCTGTGTTTGTGGAGGTTATTTTATCTGCTCTGTGGAATCTGGACCGCTTGCTCCCAAACCACGGGAGATGGGAAGTCGCTGTACTTCTGGGAAACAGGTACACGTTTTGGCTATTTCTAGTTCTTTGATGGATGGGGAAGGTTTTTTTTTTTTTAGATGTCCCGCTGGTTGTTTGAAAGTTGCATTGCGATTTTTCTGTTGTTTTATGATCAAAACAAGAAGTCGAGGTCTTTTCTGTGTGCACTTCAAAACAGATCTGCGGAGAGAGCGTGTGAATTATTTCTCATCATCCTAATTTCTGATTCTCAAAGTCTGCACAGTGGAGAACGTGTCCCCGTTTCTGCACAGTAGGCTGTCTCCCTCTTTTCCCAAGCCGATTGTTCGATTTCTTGTGCTAGATAACAGCCGTATTATTATTGTAATGCAATCTGACAAATGGAAGGAGCTGCGAGATGAAAAGCGATGGAAGTTATTCGAGATTTGATTGCAATGCCTGGCTTGTTTTGCAATCACATCTTCTATGCACAAATATTTAAAAAGTAAAAATGGAAAAAAATATTATATATGTTATTTTAAATATACATATACGTGTATGCATGCATTTCAAAATGTTATAATCAGTAATTGCTGTCTAAATTGTTGTAATAGCAGTGTACTTAAGGGGATAGTTCACCCAAATATTTAAATTCTGTCAATATTTACTCACAATTTACTGGTTTCAGACCAGTTTAAGTTTATTTCTTCTGTTGAACACATACAAATAGATATTTTGAAGAATGTTTTAAAACTGTAACAATTGAATTACATATTATTTGTTTTTCTTAATATGCAAGTCAATGGTTCGGGTTTCCAACATTCTTCAAAATATCTATTTTTAGTCACCGATTGCAGGTTTTCAACATTCTTCATACTACCTTTTTTTAAAGTCAATGATTACAGGTTTTTTTTAACATTCTTCAAACTATCTATTTTTCAGTGAATGATTACTGGTTTCCAACATTCTACAAAATATCCATTTTTTAGTCAATAGTTACAGGTTTCCAACATTCAAAATAAATATTTTTTTCTCAATGATTACAGGTTTTCAACATTCTTCAAAACATGTATTTTTAATCAATGATTACAGGTTTTCAACATTCTTCAAATATACATTTTTTAATTAATGATTACAGGTTTCCAACAAACATTCAAAATATCTATATTTTAGTCAATGATTACAGGTTTTCAACATACTTCAAACTATCTATTTTTAGTCAATGATTACATGTTTTCAACATTCTTCAAACTATCTATTTTTAGTCAATGGTTACAGGTTTTCAACATTCTTCAAACTATCTATATTTTAGTCAATGATTACAGGTTTTCAACATTCTTCAAACTATCTATATTTTAGTCAATGATTACAGGTTTTCAACATACTTTAAACTATCTTTATTTTAGTCAATGAATACAGGTTTACAACATTCTTCAAACTATCTATATTTTAGTCAATGATTACAACATTCTTCAAACTATCTATATTTTAGTCAATGATTACAGGTTTTCAACATTCTTCAAACTATCTATTTTTCAGTGAACGATTACTGGTTTCCAACATTCTTCAAAATATAAATTTTCTTTAGCAAGGATTACGTTTCAGCATTTTTCAAAATATCTATATTTTTTAGTCAATGGTTACAGGTTTCCAACATTCTTTAAAATATCTATTGTTTTTTGTCATTTAAGCATTCTTCAAAGTATAATTTTTTTTGTGTGGAACAAGTAAAGGTTAAACATTTGAGTGAACTATCCCTTTAACTGCCCCTCTTTGTAAAATGAATTATTGGTAGTAAGACACTTCATTACCTAATTCTCACACATTAATAATCACAAACAAAATATAAGTGGACACAAATTGTTTAAACTAAAATATATAAATTGATTTCAGAACTACAAATATCACTATGATTAACAATTTGATCATTTTGGAGAACAGAAATGAGAATCTAGCATTGTACTGATTAAATACTGATTAAATAAACCAAGATGCCAACTAGAAGATCATCCATACAACTGACCCAAAGCATTCAAATCAAGGCGTGCTCTTCTAAATAAGCAGTTTTGCGTTTTCCTATTGGCCAGAGCGCTGTCCTGAGTCAGTGTGCGGTTGTAACTATGTTAGTGAATTTTTAAAGAGGATGTAACCGCGTAAGGAGATTAAAGGAGCTGCTGGGATTTATATTGTGAAAACATCCCTGGGACATTCATGCAGAGAAGCGGAGCGGCAGGCAAACTTAACCTACATATCTCTCTCCTGTAGGTCACAGTAATTGCAGATCATTGGCTCACTTCATCGCCAAAACATCTGGTGGAAATGCTGAGAGTCAGGCAGATGCAGGATAGTGTGCCGTTTTGACTGCGATAGCGCAATAGTGTTATTGCCATTTCTCGAGCGCTCAAGGGGAGGGAAATTTACTTTTGACGTACGATGTACTGTATGCATAATGAATCTGACTGTAGAAAGAGCTCCGGCTTCAACCTGTGGGGAATTGGCTCACATCTCCGCTGTTTATTGGCTTCACAGAAGAGCAATAAATCTGCTGTCTAGGGCTGATAACCTCCCATGATGGAGATGCTCATATCACGGGCCCGGAAACACAAGTGCTCTAGAAGCGAATCATGCTGCGTTCCTCGAAACGACGGGTAAAACCTACACGCAATTCTTTAAGTGATTCTTAATGGCCGTGTTTTTCTTGTCGCAATCGATATTGCTGGCGTGCTCGGTGCTTTTATTTCTAATAAGCAAGCTGGATTAAATGGCATGCTGCTCTCTGTGCGTTTCCCTCTCTGTTTGCTGTCTGAACGCTGGGGTTTGATGTTCAAATATCCCTGGAGTAGACTGGAGCAATTTTGTCCTTATCGCTCCATGCCTCAGACTCCAATTAGAAGCACTCTTTCCTCATTTTTATCGATATAAAGTCTTGGGTTGACCCTTCACCGCTGCAGATCTCAGCTCTGGCTCCCATGTGTCTCAAACCAGCATTGACTCAGAGAGGATTCTTAATTAATGAGGATATTTATGGACCACAATTGACTGCTCGGGTTACTGTAACCTTGGGTTGGTTCTTGGTTAAACGGAGATGGTGTCAGAAATTAAGAGGAGTGATACATTAGGACTGCACGTTATTGGAATAAAAGTGACATCGCAATGTTTAGTTTCTCTGCCATTTACAGTTGAAGTCAGAATTATTAGCCCTCCTGAGTTTTTAGCCCCCCTGTTTATTTTTCCCCCCAATTTTTGTTTAATGGATAGATTTTTTCAGCACATTTCTAAGCATATTAGTTTTAATAACTCATCTCTAACTCATTTCTTTTATCTCTGTCATGATGACAGTAAATAATATTTTACTAGAACATTTTTAAGACACTTCTATACAGCTTAAAGTGACATTTAAAGGTTAATTAGGTTAACTAGGCAGGTTAGAGTAATTAGGCTAGTTATTGTAAATTGATGGTTTGTTTTGTAGACTGTCAAAAAATAATGTTGCTTGAAGGGGTTAATAATTTTGACCTTAAAATGGTTTTTAAAAAATTAAAAACTGCTTTTGTTCTAGCAGAAATAAAACAAATAAGACTTGCCCCAGAAGAAAAAAATATTATCAGACATTCTGTGAACATTTCCTTGCTCTGTTAAACATCACTTATTATATTTTAAAAAGGGGGGATAATAATTCTGAATTCAAGTGTATATATATTGCCATATGAATATCATTTTACCAAATCACTTGAATTGAGTTGGGACCGTTGGGATGACTTGAATTGACTTGGGACTGTTGGGATGACTTGAATTGACTTGGGACAGTTGGAATTACTTGAATTGACTTGGGACAGTTGGAATGACTTGAATTGACTTAGGACAGTTGGGATGACTTTAATTGACTTGGGACCGTTGGGATGACTTGAATTGACTTGGGACCGTTGGGATGACTTGAATTGACTTGGGACTGTTGGGATGACTTGAATTGACTTGGGACTGTTGGGATGACTTGAATTGACTTGGGACCGTTGGGATGACTTGAATTGACTTGGGACCGTTGGGATGACTTGAATTGACTTGGGACAGTTGGAATTACTTGAATTGACTTGGGACAGTTGGAATGACTTGAATTGACTTGGGACAGTTGGGATGACTTTAATTGATCTGGGACCGTTGGGATGACTTGAATTGACCTGGGACCGTTGGGATGACTTGAATTGACTTGGGACCGTTGGGATGACTTGAATTGACCCGGGACAGTTGGGATGACTTGAATTGACTTGGGACAGTTGGGATGACTTTAATTGACCTGGGACCGTTGGGCTGACTTGAATTGACCTGGGACCGTTGGGATGTCTTGAATTGACCAGGGACCGTTGGGATGACTTGAATTGACTTGGGACAGTTGGGATGACTTGAATTGACTTGGGACAGTTGGGATGACTTGAATTGACTTGGGACATGATTTTGTGGGACAGTAATCTGCAAAAATGAAACAGTGTTTTATGGTTTTCCACACTTTGAAAAGAATGTAAAATTTATGGTAAAAACGGCAGCTGTGTCTACATTTACATTTAAATGTAGTCATTTAGCAGATGCTTTTGATCAAAGCGACTTACAATTGAGCAGGCAATCAGCAACTCAACAAGAGGCACTACACACAACAAGTGTTAATTATACAAAGCAACTGTTTGTGCTTAGAGAATTAAAGGTGCAGTAGGTGATTGTCTTCAGAAACATGTTTTGTTGTGCTGGTTTAAAGTCTCTTCACAGTCCAATAGTAATGATTAAATTAAATTATATAAATGTATGTATATGTGTGTTTATATTCTGTGTAAGGTATAAGACCAGGGCCGGAGCAAGCTAAACTGTCGCTCTAGGCCAGGGATGGGCAAACTTGATCCTCGAGGGCCGGTGTTCCTGCAGAGTTTTGTTTCAACACTAGTCAAACACACCTGAACAAACTAATTAGTGTCTTCAAGATCACTTGAACTTTATAGGGAGGTTTGTTTGAATAGGGTTGCAGCTAAACTGTGCAGGACACCGGCCCTCCAGGACCGAGATTGCCCACCCCTGCTCTA